AATAATATAGATTAAAAATAGAATTAATTATAAATAAGATTAATTAATAAAATTACTTATTTACCTAATTTAGTAGTAATCAACTATTACTATACTATATACTGCAGTTACATCATATACTATACTATATTTACTATACTGCACAAATAAGTAATTAATTATAATATATATAAAAATTAACATGTGATCAAAAAAATATCACATAATATAACTTTGATATATTAATATTTTGCTTTAGAAAATCATATATTCTCAATTAATATTACTATAGCCTTATAAGAGAGAATGCTAAAGTAGGGTAGTGGATTATATATTAATTTGAATTATGTAAATTCAGATCATGTCAATCTGAATTTACCTATAAAATTATACAATCATATATAATATATTTTATCATTATTACAAGGTAATTTTTTTTATTTTTATTTTTTTTGAATAGTTGATAAGAGAATAAAAATAATAAGAATAAGGGTGGATAGGTTAGTTAAGAAATAATTATGTCAATAATACAAACTTAAAAATATATTCGTATAAGAAATATAAAAAAAATCAAATACATTCATACAAAAAATGCAAATCTTATATTTCAAGTTGTATTTAAGTTGCAAAAAATATTATAAAAATAACTTATATGTATATGTATACATATATATATATATTATATACATATTACATGATATATTACATGATATATCACATGGTATATTATATACATATCATATATATACATATGTATATACATATATATATATACATACATATTTATATATCTTCATATCTTGAATAAGATTTCTAATACAAGAAATTATTAATCAAAAATACATAAGTTTTTTTAATGTTAATAACTTTTTCAAAATATCTGAAAAGGAGTTTCATAAAGAATTATAACTACTCATATCTAATATCTGGATATGATATAATAGTTAGTGATCTCTTAATAATAATTTTTGGATTATTTATATCTGTCATCTCTTAAAGTATCACAAATTTAATACATGGAAAGCAGGAATTCCAGTTGAAAAGAGAAGAAAGATAAGTAAATACAATTCCAATCAGTGTGATGTTAGAATTAAAGTAATACATATCATCATAATACAAATAGTATGAATCAAATATTATAAAAATATTCTGAATTATACATACTAAATCAAGAATATTGATTAAATAAAATAGCCAAAAGTAATCAGATAGCTGATAACTAATAAAGCAAACAAATCATATAAATTACTAGTTATTGTCATCATAATTAAGAAATTCATAGTAAATAAGAGGCTTGATACTATCACCCAAAAATTATATCAAACTAAAGTGATAAATATTCAATAAAATATACATAAATCACTAACTAAATATCTTATAGATAAAAAAGATCTTGAATCTGATATCTAGTATATTTTGAAATTTTTAATCAATAAAAATTATTGAGTTAAATACTTTGAGATCATATAGTAATTACAAAAAGTATTGCAAGATCTCTACTTTACAAATCATAATCAATTGAAAAAATTATAATACCATGGATGACTAACTCTTATAAACTTGATATATAATATCAACAAGCACTTATAGTATCTTTTCATCTTATATATTTGAGATAGTTTCAGTTACTGGAATGTGAATGCATATTTTCTTATTAGTAAGAAAGATAACAATACAGTAACTAAGATGTTAAAGATGATTTATCAATTTGAATCTTGTTCACTTTCTTATTATATATTATGTGATCAAAGTAATATAGAAATAAATAGCATCACAAACATCTTTTCTAATATTACATATGACAAACAAAATTATAATATTATTCTTTATACCATGTATATTATGTGAATATAGCTACATAAAATTTATTATCCAGTGATACACAACCAAATGATCTTAGTCATGCATAAAAAAATAAGTATCAGTTATGAAGAAATTATTAAGAATATTATTATCATCTGTCCTATTCCTGAAATTGTTCATTATATTAATTGTAATTATACTAATAATATGGAAAAATGGATACTTTGGACATGCTAGCATTCTTCTCTTTTATTATAAATCATCTCAATAAATCTACTAGAATCCTATCATAGTAAACTCAAGAGAATAATAGCAAAGAAATACAGATTAATAGGTGAGATGCAATTTATCATGTGATTAATTCTCTTTAAATTTTCTAAGTTTACTAGATCATATGATGAATTCATTTTTATTATTAATAATTTGTTCTTTATTATATAATTTAGAAGTATGTTTCAAAATTATCAAACTTGATAACAAGAAACAGATCAATTTGAAGAAAACAGCTCTTAACTTTCATCAAAAACATATCTCTGTAATTGATCTTGATAATGAAATTCTTGAACAGATACATAAGTTTCCCTATCCTATCCAAAAGTTAATTATAAGTAAAGCTGTAATTATGAATGCAAGAATAATGAAGAGAAAGCCACCACCAGATTTACAAATATTCCAGTGTGATTATATATTTTTTCATTATTATTTGCTTTCATGTTGACACATCCTTCATTAACATATTTTCAGTTCTAATAAGCTATTAACGGTTGAGGTTTGGAATAAATTCCAATGAATGTTTGAAGAGATTGGTTTTGAAGTATATGAATATCATGAAATGATTGAGCTATCTGAGCCAATTCAGACTCAAGTGGAAAAAGAAGCAGAGATACGAAGACTTCAAATTGGTGAACTTATGGAAAGGGTGCGGGACAAGTATTGGGAAATTGAAAATGAAGATTTATTACATGTTTAGATAAATCATTGACTTCAGTTTTTAATAATAAAAAATATTAACTTTAAACAATTACATATATATAATTGTTATTATACATTTGCTATAATTGTCTCCGTATTCCTTAATTGTCTTGTTCGCTATTATTATCCGATAATATGTTCAGCCAATAATTACCTTTCACATGATACGAATGAATCACCTGATACGATCCGGATCGAATTCTATATCACGTGAGAATACCCGGCTTTAGTGGACCCCTTATAAGGTGCTCGTAAAACTGATTCGATTAATTATAAGATCAGGATGACAAAGAAATCAAACAACAGACGCCACCGACTAACCAACGACGTGGAAACACGTCTAGTAAGTTACATTCAACAGTTATTACAGCAACAAGCGGAAAATAATAATATCGATGGAAATGCCTCAGTTGGTGTGAGTGGTGGTGGTATTACCACAGGTGGTGGTAGTGGAATAAAACTTGAACTCAGCACAAATACAGTGCTTGAGTACATACAACGAGTCGATTACAAGTTTAGGCGTATGAAGAAACTGCAGTTGGAGCAGCATATCGATAGAGGTGATGGATCGTTTTAAAACTTTTTTGTCAAATCGATCTTCATGATTGAAAAATTCGATTCATTCATATAAAATAATCGATATAGTATTAAAATCTATTAATGCGCAACAACGAGGTATGTCTACAATAGGGTATACTTGTCTTTCTATAACGATTTTCATATATCTTTAAATAACAATCAATTTAGATATTGACAACCAAAACTTGGATAGTGATAAAGTAGTTGACTTTAGATTGATCGATTTTCCTGTCACGTGATTATCCAATATCAAAGAAGTAAAATAAAGGTCTTACAGATTAAGGTAAAGGTAGAGTTTGGAATTGAATATTCAATTTTATTTTAATGTGAATATATTCGATTCGAATTTAAATTCAAATCTTATTTATATTTATTCGATTTAAACTTGTGACACACATATTCAAATCTGATAATTCGAATGCATTTGAATATTAATGAATTCTGACGAATTCATTAATATTTAAATTCATTCGAATTTAATTTCAGGCTTCGGTTTTAATTCGAATTTAAAAATAAATTTGATTACAATCTCTAGGTTAAAGGTTAGGGTTCGGGAATAGCATATATAATAGCAAAATCAGATTTCAAAATTGATCTTTGATTTTTCATTGAATTAATATCGGATAATTACGTGACGGGAAAGCGATCCTACGCCCTGGTATTGTTTTATTACCCTAACCCCTAACTAAAATGTTATTACTATTTTATATCTTGTAATTTGATTGGTTGCCCTTTAAATCACGTGATTTGGAAATTTTTTTCCACTAGTCTGCCAACGACGAAGATGTTGAAGACGATGACTCAGAATTCGAGCAACTTGAAAATGTTCAGGTGATGGAAGTAAAAGTATGTGTGATTTTTTTACTTGTCGTTCGATTTAATCATTATAATGAAATTAAGTTCACAACAAACAAATAATCAGGACATAAATTCAATGAACAAATCAATTATTCGTCTATGGAATCAACATGGAGTCACAACAACTAATACAAATAATGATAATACTTCTACTTTATCAAACACTGTTACATCGGAGCCATCTACGAAACCATCATTACACACCACAAACCCTATGTCACATACAACACCATCATTATCATCATCGGCAACTAATGACAATAACGAAAATAATTTTCAATTTGGCAATAGTAATAACAAATCTTTTAGCAAATCATCATCATCATCATCATCATCATCAACAACACCATTACCTGCTGCACGATTGTCAGACTTAGGCGGAATTGATTCTTGTATTGAAGAAGTTTTGGAATTGATCGCTATGCCGTTGGCGCATCCCGAGATTTACTTACACACAGGTGTGCAGCCGCCAAGGTAAATTTATTCGTTTCACGTGTGTTAGTTTTTTTTTATAAAGAAGAATGTATAATTACAGTCAGACCTCTCCACACACTAGATATACCCAAGTGCATACCTTATTCAGTCTCAAGCTTTATAAGATTCTTATAAATTTACCTCTCTAAATGCACATTTTGTCAAATTAATCCTATGAAACCAAGAGGGATGCATTTGGGGAGGGGTTGACTGTATTAATCTAATTATTATTGTCATATTAGAGGAATATTATTACATGGTCCTCCCGGATGTGGGAAAACTTTGCTTGCCAATGCAATTGCAGGGGTAACTTCTTACCTATTTTACGAAGAATTTTACAAGTTTTTTAAAGAAGGAAAAGTTTCGTCATTTTAATTTATTTAATCAATGAAAATAGGAGCTAGGCGTCCCATTTATTAGCATTTCAGCACCGTCAGTGGTATCCGGCATGTCAGGCGAATCAGAAAAAAAGATTCGTGAAGTTTTTGAGGATGCCAAGGTAATTAACGATCATAGCTATTTATCTGGAATACAATTTCCAATATTTATGTAGTTTTGATGGTAAAAATTGCCTAGAAAATGGCACCTTGTCTTATATTTATTGATGAAATTGACGCCATAACACCAAAACGCGAAACCGCCCAACGAGAAATGGAACGTCGAATCGTAGCACAACTATTAACGTGTATGGACGACCTATCCTGGGAAAAGACAAACAATAAACCAGTGTTAATTATCGGTGCGACTAATCGTCCAGATTCACTTGATCCGGCGTTACGACGTGCTGGGAGATTTGATCGGGAAATTAGTATGGGAGTTCCAGATGAGAAGGGAAGAGAAAAGTAAGTTTTTTTTTAGTTTAATTAGAACTATATTAACTAGACTTAAAAATTGGTTATTCATTATGTAGAATCCTCAAAGTCATTTCAAAAAAATTGAGACTGTCGGGTGATTTTGATTTCAAGACGCTTGCTAAACTTACACCTGGTTACGTCGGAGCTGATTTAAATGCACTTACTGCGGCTGCGGGTGTGATTGCTGTAAAACGCATATTTCAGCAATTAGGCGAAGACGCGCAAAAGATTCCAAATAGCGAAACCAATGATATGCAAATAGATACTGAGGAAGATTCTTCTTTATCATCATCGTTCATTAATTCAGCCAGTAACACTAGCATAAGACAAACCCCATTTGAAAAACAGTCACCAACAGACCAATTACGTTTCATATCTGCATTTTTAAAATCGCATCCCAATCCGTTAACACCCGAAGAACTAGAACCGCTCAGTATCAACAACACCGACTTCATCGAAGCACTCGAAAAAGTCCAACCTTCGTCCAAACGTGAAGGATTCGCCACCGTGCCGGATGTGAGCTGGTCCGATATAGGAGCACTTTCGTTTGTTCGAAACGAACTGAGAATGGCAATTGTTGAACCGATTAAACGGCCCGATTTATTTGAACGAGTAGGGATTACGGCGCCGGCCGGTGTTTTGTTGTGGGGGCCTCCGGGGTGCGGGAAGACGTTGTTAGCGAAAGCCGTGGCGAATGAGAGTCATACTAATTTTATTTCAGTGAAGGGCCCAGAATTGTTGAATAAAGTAATTTTTTTAATTGGCTAAACTGTCTATATAGAATGAATTTTGAAAATATTATATTTATTATTTAGTATGTGGGAGAAAGTGAGCGTGGAATACGACAATTGTTTGCACGTGCTAGAGCATCATCTCCATGTGTCATATTTTTCGATGAGTTGGATGCGTTATGTCCGCATCGTGATGAATCAAAGGTATTGGTTATTGGTATTACTCTATTAAAGTTATAGCCCAAAAATAATAATTAATGTTTGTTTCTTGAATATGTGTGCTTTGTCATAATATACTATAGTCAGAATCAACGTCGCGTGTAGTAAACACTTTACTCACAGAATTGGATGGCTTGGAGAGTCGTCGACAAGTTTACGTGATTGCTGCGACAAATAGACCAGGCAAGTATTCATCAAACCAACAATACTAAAAACCGTTCCCGCTTTACGCTTTACTTTTAAGCTTACAGTTTATATGTACCAAAAAATTACAGATATCATCGACCCGGCAATGATCCGTCCCGGTCGTCTCGACAAACTTTTGTATATCGAGCTACCCACTCCCGCGGAACGACACGAAATCTTGAAAACGTTGACGAAAAAGACACCGTTATCATTGGATGTTGATTTGAAAAATATTGCGGAGGATTCGCGGTGCGAAGGATTTAGGTTTGACTTAAAATTATTTACTGTTTATTTATTCGAGATTTATATTTCCTAAAATAATTTTATTTTATGATAATTTTGTTTAAAAGTGGTGCCGACCTAGCATCTTTAATTCGCGAAGCGGCGGTTTCAGCATTACGTGAATCAATATTTCTCGATCTTGATAATAATAATAATAATAACGAAAAAGACAGCAAAAATCTATCTGTAGCAACATCATCATCTCAATCACAACCCGCATCAACACTCTATGTTACCACCAAACATTTTTTAATGGCATTCAATAAAGTTGCGCCTAGTGTCTCCAAACAGGATAAACGGCGTTACGACGCGTTACGTGTAAAGTTTGGTGGCGGGTTGTGTATGATGAAGACCCCTAAAAAATAGTTTGTAATAGACCGAATTCGCTATAAGATTATTTTTAAAAATTAACTCAAAATTAACTATGTAAGATTGATTTAAATTTTTAATTCGCTGAAATTCTACCTTCACCGAGCCAATATTTTTCTGAGTCATGTGATACATTATGCATGAGATTTAGATCAAGCAATTGACCAATCATGATAAAGCAAGTTTTTGACAAACAAATTCAAAAACTTGCACTTTCAACTTTTCCATACTTGCAAAACAAAATGTCAGACACTTGCTACACAATAATACACCAAGATGACAGCGCAGATCAACCCTCTATCCAAGACTTGAAATCTGCCCTAGAAAAAGGCTCAGAGGAAGTAAAAATCGAAACAATGAAAAAAATTCTAGTCACAATGCTCAATGGGGACCAGCTCCCTCAGCTGCTGATGCAGGTTATTCGATTTGTCATGCCGTCGAAGAATAAAACATTGAAAAAGTTGTTGCATTTTTATTGGGAGATTTGTCCGAAAACTAATCCGGACGGAAAGTTGAAGCAAGAGATGATTTTGGTGTGGTATGCATTGATGATGGATTGATCTTTGATCTTTTGATTTGTGTTTGTGAAGTAATTGTTTCGATTCGAAAAAATAAAACGTGATCGAGATCTTTGTATCACGTGATGTAATAAAGAATTTGTCTTAAATACGTGAATTCATATCCAGTAATGCGTTGCGAAACGACTTGCAACATCCAAATGAATATATACGAGGAGCAACTCTTCGATTTTTATGCAAGTTACGAGAGCCGGAACTACTAGAACCATTACTGCCGTCTTGTAGATCCTGTCTGGTAATTGATTATAATTAAGCGCGAAAAATCGAATCATATTGTATTTTTATATATTTGGAAAATCTGACTATGTTTATTTATTATTAGGAACATCGGCACTCTTATGTACGAAAAAACGCGGTATTCGCTATATACACAATATATAAACATTTTGAGTACTTGATTCCTGATGCACCAGAGTTAATTCAGAATTTTCTAATTGCGGTATGATAAGATCGATAAGCAAATTTTGATGACCGAATTTATTTTTATTATTCATACGCTCTAAATCAAAACAGTTGACATTTTTTTAAACTATTGATTCAATACATATATACACAACAAGGAAGCAGACCAGACGAGCAAACGAAACGCGTTTGTCATGTTATGCAATACAAGTCAGTCTCGTGCCGTAGAGTATCTCAATGATGTGTTTGATCAAGTGCCGAATTTTGATGAGTTGTTGCAGATGGCGGTAATAGAGTTGATTAGAAAGGATTGTCGAAATAATAGTGCTAACCGGGTATTTATTAAACTGTGTACAATATAATTTTTTTGCACTCAATTTTTAAGGATTTTTACCGGAATTTCTATTTTATAGGGAAAATATATTAAATGCATATTTGAGTTATTGAATGCTGCGTCACATTCCGTGAAGTATGAGGCTGCTACATCTTTAATGGCTTTAACACACGCTCCTGCTGCTGTAAAAGGTATTAGCAAGCTAATGATTAGGCTGGTTATCATATTTATATTTTTATTCTCATATATTTGCTGTATGTATTTTTTGATGTTTAGCTGCGGCCGCCTGTTATATCGAACTCATTATCAAAGAATCAGACAACAATATCAAATTGATCGTGTTGGACCGATTAGACGAGTTGCGCGAAAAACATGAAAATGTTTTGGACGATTTGGTGTTGGATATTTTACGTGTACTTTCAAGGTTTGTTCATTAGCTTATGCTATTCCTCCTCAAAGGAGAGAAATTTGTTATTTATCTATTTATTATATTTTTATCCGCGTATTATTGTTTTTCCCTGGATTGACCAATTAATAGAAATAACATTAATTATAAAAAATAATAGCCCAGATATTGAAGTTCGACGAAAAGCTTTACGTATTGGTTTGGAATTAGTCTCGACTCGAAATGTCCAGGAAGTTGTGGTATTTCTGAAAAAGGAGCTTGCGAAAACTATTGATCAAGACTTTGAAAAAGTAATGTTCTTTGTTTTCCAAAACAATATTTTTTTTTATAGATTATTCATATATTTTTTTCCTAAATAGAACGCCGAATACAGACAACTCCTTATCCAATCGATTCATTCATGTGCAATCAAATTCTCTGAAGTTGCTGCGAATGTTGTGCATGTGCTTATGGAATTTCTTGGGGATTCGAATAATCCGGCTGCTGTTGATGTTATAGCTTTTGTGCGGTAGGTTAGTTTAGAGTAGTTATATATCTATATGATCACTAATAACTTTGATTGTGATATAATAGAATATTAAAAACGTTAATGAATTATTTTGTTAAATATTGCTCTAATGATCTTGTTGTTTAAATTAATTTGTGTCTTAAAAAATGAATTAGTGAAGTCATGGAGAAATTTCCTAATTTACGATCTTCGATCATTGAGAGATTACTGGGAACGTTTATAGACGTCAAGTCTGGTAAAGTATTTAGGGGTGCTTTATGGATTGTTGGAGAGTATTGTGCAAGTGTTCAAGGTAACTCATTTAATTTACATATGATTTAATATCAGATTTTTTTGTCTTTGTATAATAAAATAAGGAAGTTGACCTATGAATAAATAATATAATGTTTTTATCTAACTAGATATTGAAGATGCTTGGAAGCAGATTCGAGCTGGACTTGGTGAAATACCTATACTGGCTTCAGAACAGGTTCGATAAAATGGAAGAAATTCATTAGATTATTCGCCATTTCTATTATTCTTTAGTGTTCATGAAATTTTAATCAAATTAGCGACTACTCGAAGAAGCTTCTAAAGAAGATGGCAGTGAGGAAACTAATGCTGACAGCAAACAAGCAATAGCATCAACCTCAGCTTCTTCATCTCGTCGAATTCTTGCTGATGGGACATATGCCACTGAAACTGCTTTTACCAATAGCTCGTCAGCTCTTGCGAAACTTGAGGCTGTTAAAGCCGCGGCAAAGCCACCATTAAGAGGTGTGAAAAGATTTTCTTTAATAATTTTATCTAATAATTCGGTTATGATACTCATTTATCAATAAATCTTAGCGTTACTGCTCAATGGCGATTTTTATATGGGCGCTGTACTGGCGTCTACTCTGACAAAATTGGTCATGCGTTTCGCGGAAAAATCTGATAACCATAAACGTGTAAATTCGTTACGCGCGGAGGTAAAAATTTTCCCAATTCGAAAAATTTAATGGTGCAAACCGAACAATTTATCTTTGTCTGGATATTTATTTTTAATGAATAGGCTATGTTGATAATGGCCAGTATAATACGTGTCGGCCGATCTCAGTTTGTCACAACTCCTATTGATGAAGATTCTTATGATCGTATAATGTCATGCCTTCATGTTTTAGAAAATTTTTCGAAAGACGCGGCAATAAAATCGGTGTTTTTGCAGGAAACTAAAGCGTCCTTTGCGCGTATAATCGAAGCTGAAGAGGTCAATATTCCCTCATGATAAAAGCTGCGTCATCTTTGTTTACTAAGAAATTCCCATATCTATTCTTAACACTTTGATACGTCCTATATCAACGTAGAAACGTAATGCGGCAAAAAAGGCAAAGGATAAATCAGCTCAAGCTGTGCAAGTTGACGATCTTATAACTTTTCGGCAATTCTCTAAGAGAAATCTAGGAGACGCTGCTGATGAGGTAATGTGTATGAAATGGATAAAAGAACGTGTATTATATATACATCTCTAATTCTCTTAATAATGTGATATGATGGTTTCGATTTTTAGTATGAACTCGATTTGACACGCGCTACAGGACAAAATGATTCACGCGATGATTTAATATCTAAACTTAGTCGTGTTGTACAATTGACTGGTAATTTTTAGTTTACATTGTTCTAGTTATTTGTACGAGAATTTAAGTTCAAACTTGAAAATCTTTTTTTGAAGGTTTCTCCGATCCGGTATACGCCGAAGCGTATGCGAATGTTCATCAATATGATATTCTTTTAGGTCAGTCTTTCCTACATTTCTTTACTATTTTGATTCAATCGATTTCTCAAAAGAGATGTTCATGACATATAATAAATCATAAAATGCACTTTTCTAGATGTGTTAATAGTAAACCAAACAAACGAAACACTCCAAAACCTCACACTAGAGTTTGCGACATTGGGTGATCTTAAATTAGTCGAACGTCCCACTCAGCATAATTTGGCCCCACACGCTTTTCATAGTGTGAAGGCTACAATTAAGGTAACACCTTCGATGATCCAAACACCCTTGCTTTTGTTAATTGTTTTGTACGAAGGTTCTGAAGTTGTGGTGGTTTGTGAAAAATTCAATTTAGGTTTCGTCAACAGAAACTGGTGTTATTTTTGGCAACATAGTGTACGATGGACCTGGAACCTCGGAAAGCAATTGTGTGGTGCTTAATGATATTCACATTGATATAATGGATTATATTAATCCCGCTTATTGCAATGAGACTCAGGTAAACATAATAATGATATTGTTTTTTTTAGTTTTACTATTTATTCATTTCATCTGATAATAAATATAGTTCCGTAACATGTGGACTGAATTCGAATGGGAAAACAAAGTTAACGTCAACACCAACATCACGTAAGATTTATTCCATACTATAAAGTATTGAACATCAATAATAAGATTAATTCCATCCTACATTAAAAAATTCCTGTATGCTAGCGATCTACGTGAATATCTTCGTCACATAATGAAATCCACAAACATGAGCTGCCTAACCCCGGAAGCAGCTTTATCTGGTGATTGTGGTTTCCTTTCTGCTAATATGTATGCCAGAAGTATTTTCGGTAAGACTAACAGGAAATAGCAATGAAAATTCATTAGAATATTTGTCCGTCAAATTTTTGTACTAATTTTTTTCTATGCATAGGCGAGGACGCATTAGCAAATCTCAGTATTGAAAAACAAACAGATGGTGCTATTACGGGTCACGTTCGTATTAGAAGCAAGACTCAAGGAATAGCGTTGAGTCTTGGTGATAAGATTACATTGGGTAAGTTATCAATGATAGGGTCATAGATTTATTGTTTATCATGTTCTTGTTGCTTAGTAATTATAATAACAATAAACCATTTGATCGAAACTTTTTTTAAAATACAGCACAAAAAATCTCTACTTGATGGAATTGTGAGATTACTTCTTTTTAATTAGAATTTGTATTTACCAGTTAGATGTTTTGATTTGTATTATTTATTTTTTTGAAGAAATGAAAAGTGTATTTGGTTTACGAAAAAATTATTATCAGATCATGATTAAAGTGAAATTTTTATTACATATATTGTTGATGGGCATAAATTCTAAAGGAATAGCAGTGTTTTGAAGTGAAAAAAACCTTTGGTTTTCTTATTTGAAACAGTTCAATAAAAGGAGAATTTTATCGTTATTCACCGATGATCAATACATTTTAACGTCGGCTACGATGTGAGATAAAAATTCCATAAAAACATGACTTTGGTTTGCTTTTTTTCGTGTAATCTTAATAAACTATCTCTGGCCCAACTTTTCTCGATTCATAATTTTTACATTGAATTATAAATGGAATAATTCTAATTGTCCCTTCTATATCCCTTCCTTTAATATTATTATTTGTTTCATTATTATTGTAAAATTACAACGCCGACTATTTCAGGTGGTTTTTTCGAAGAAAAGAACGTTTATCAATATAAATCTGCAGCAAGAAACTCGCTAACGCGCGGATATGTTCGTACAGCGGTAGAAGATGATTCATTATACCGAAACCAGATAGTTGACGTAGCATCATCTTCATCCTTTTTTCCTGTATAACAAAAGAGAAAATAAAATTCAAGATATTTTTAAGAAAACTAACTAATTCGATTTTTTATGGGGCGTAAAATAATAAAGTATGATTTACATACCTTCTTTGGATGTTTTGGAAGCCGTTGTAATAGGCCTGCCAAAGAAATCCACTGGAGGCTTTATGCATATTTTTTAGTCTTGTAATTACAATAAAAAAAAAATGATTTTCTGAATTTAATTAATAAATAATATATACCTTAATTTCAATCGAGGATTGCTCTATCATATTGTACTCCTCTGGTTTGGCTTTCAATTTACTAAACCATATAAATATATTAATCTTCAATAAATTTTAAAAAATTAAGAGAATAACATTATCACGTACGGGTCAAATGTCTTTGTCGTATTTACAGCATTTTTTCGAATCTTTGCTAGTTCAATCTATCATAAGAAAAGAAATCACCATATAAGCATAAACACAATATTACTAAGAAAGGAAAATAAGAATCAAAGTTACATACTTCATGAGACACAATCTGACGAAACGATTGTTGTTGACTCCCAAATTTATTACTCTTATTAGAGAATTGCAGTAAGCGATCAAGTGGCCTAACATCAGTCACAAAAAAATATTATTACTATTATTGATGTTCTAATGTCATATTCTTTGATCCCTCAAATAAGATGTATGAAGCATATTTTGCTTTTTTTTTTTACTCACGGTTCAAGTCGAAATACCAATTGACCATCCTCATTTCTTTCCTTGACATATTGAAGATCAAATGTCACCATGATATTTACTATATTCGCTATGATTTGCTTTTCATGTGGTTTTAAGAGTAATTGGTTTGTCTAAAAAAATACATTCGAAATAATGATTAAAACTTTTGCCCAATCAAAAAAAAAATATAATTGTAAGAAATCTTAACACTGTATTGTAATAAAATCTTTACTGTTTTGATATCCGGTGACGATATTATTCTCATTAGATATGGAAGAACCAAAGTAACAAAGGTGTTTTTGTTCAAATCTCGTTTTAGATTTGCTGGAAGATGAGAAAGAACGCTCAATACTATGCCCTCGTTTCGTTTAAACTCTAAAGAAGTCTGTCAGTATGCAACAATCAGAAATCATCATCATCGTAAGAGTCAAAAATGCATACATCAACAGTATATGAGAATGGAAAATGCATAAACCTCATAATCTATCTTTGAGTATTCAAGACGTGGTTTGACGCTGCCAGCAAAGAATCGATGAAAGCTAATCAACGGATACGGCAAATAAGACAGAAACGAAAATTCTTGTCTCGTGTTGATTTTTGTATTCAATTGATCATAAAAAATCATCCACTGACTTGCTTCCATCAATTTTATACAAGCTGTATCATGGAATTTCATTTTCAGATAATTTTCAAAGCAACCTTTTATTGACAAAAAAATTGTATATAATATTAATGATCATATAAAATGCTTTTCGCATAGATCTTGAAATAAAGATATATATGTATATATAAAATAAATACCTTGCATTAATTTTTCGTAATCTCCATTATTGTTAATTAATGTCGAAAGCCTTTCAAGATATCGATTTGGGTGAGTATCTAAATTGAATTGAATTTTTCATTAATGCCAGCCGTATTTTGAACTATCATCAAAAAAAATAAATCCAACCCATTGTTTCTGATAGCATCGAGGTTAATCCATCTTTTCGCTTCTTTGCTGTTGAAAGCGTAAAAATTTCCTCCCAAACTGTGAAAATAGAACGTTGTGTGTCTTTTATTCCAACTCCGGACTCAGCGATCAAGTCGATAGTGACCACATCAGACTTTTGTTTTATATACTACGGAAATCAAGAAAGATCAACATCGGTAAAATCTTTATTCTGCACAATTGAAACCAATATTTTTTTACAAACTTGTAAAGTGTTTAAACAGCTTCTTATATCTCCATCAGAGGTTTCCACCAAATTTGATAAAGTTCTCATATCAGCCGATAGTTTCTCGCGGTCGCAAATATCTTTAAGTCGATTGGTAAGAATTTGGGTTGGACATTTTCGAATTTGAAATATCTGTGCAATCAGCCTCAAGGGACGAAGTGCAGAAGCATATCTTGAAACAAAAGATCATGTTAATAATTTTTTGCATCTTAATAAGTAAACGTATTACGAAAATAGAACTTACTGATCGTTACAGATACAAATAATAGGAAATAGGATAGATTTATTGACGGGCTTTTTCGCTATTGAATAATAAATAACTATTAAATATAATTCTAAGTTTGAAGACATGAAGTAAAAAAGGCAGCCTCGAACCTGAACCCGCGATCCCAGATTTTTTCTTTGCCAAAGTATGGGCTTTTTCTTCACCTTGAATCAAATCTACCAACACTTTGATAAAATTCTGTTACAAGATGAAAGTGACAAAAAAAATTCAATTTATGAACATGTACATATTCAAGCCTAAAACCGTTTTCAAATTTTAATATTCTCTAACCTGTTCTCCGCTACCCGATACACCATCAATTTCATCAATAATTATCAAAGTAGGTTTATGATTAGGAGCAATCGACTTATTTTCTAAAGAAGCTTTGATCTGATTGTTGACAACATTAACCGTTCGATCATCGCTAACAATCGAAAAAAATATTATTTATGAATCAATAAAATATTGATTTCTTATTATTATTAATGATTAATAAACATACCTAGCATTCACTTCAATAGCATTGTATCCACAATGACATGCTATCACATGTGATAGAGTCGTTTTACCATAACCAGGTGGTCCAGTTAACATCAGTACCTTTTTGACACGTACTTAGATAGTAAATCAGTAATATACTTAAACATTTTCAAGTATTTATAAAAAATAAACCTTTTTTTCCGGACGATGCCATGGATCTTGATTCTGAAATACATTATAAAGTCATGACTTAGAATCATAATTTTATTCACTATAACAATCATAAAGTTTATACTTTTTCTTCTCCCACGACTTCGTTCTCCTTCGGTTTTTTGCCAAACACGCAATAATCCCATTGCTTGATCCACCTTATGATTTCTCTGTTTGCTTTCTGTTATATACGAATATGTCATTTCAAATATGCGATAAGGCAACAGTACAAATCAAAATTTAGCTGAAAAATCATTTGATGTCTTCACCTCATCACCTAAAAGATCGATGTATCGTTTTGGACGATATTTATCAACCCATAATTTAGTCTCTGCCTCGACTTTTGCTGGGAACTTTGAATTGGTCAAATTTGCTTGACTTTATTAAAAATCAAAAATATTAATTATTTATAATTATAAAGATATGTAGCATCCAATAAATCAGATACGTACCTAAGTTCAGAGTTTGCAACTTTATCTTTTTCAATTTTACTAATTAGACGAGATATTGACAAATCGCGCAAACATTTTTTATTATAGCTTCTCTGTGTTAATTAACAATTGAGCAACAATTTTATGCTATTAATTTTTCCATTAAAGTATCACGTATGTTAATTTAAACGTTCATTTACCAGAGGTAACTCTGTAGCTGACTGAGATTTTTTGGGAAAATACAAAAAAAGACCTTTAGAAGTTGTCGCCTTAAGAAATTCACCTGTTTTTGGCCTTTCGGTGAAAATGGAAGTAAGCGGGGGTGATTTTTTGGTTACACTCGGTAATTTGGGATAAGAATCCGTGGAATTTCTTGCTGCTGGCACATTAAAATCGAAATCGCTACTGAAATCCGAAATATCAAAAGAATCTAGTGGGTGTCTTGTAGTTGACGGATTATAATTATAATTCGAAGTTTCGTTTGATGTATTGAATGTTGTTTGCTTTTCGGTTGAAACGCTGGTTTCTATTGGGTTTCTAAGTATTGATGACGAGGATGATGAAATAATTTTAGTTGTAGTTGCGAGTCTTTTAGCTCTATGTGAATAGTCATGAGTCGGTTTTTTGGTGGGTGGTTTATCTTTGGTACCAGTTTGAGCGGATGTGTAATCGGATGACGAAAATTCACTTCGCCTTTTTCGGGCTAATATTTCCTCCCCTATTGATTATCCATTTGGCATGGTAGGATTATGCATTTTTAAATCGCCAAATGATCCAAACTTGCAAAAGAATCATTAATAACCTGTTTCAAAACCATAACTATTTCGCTCCTCTTCTTCCAAAAGCAATTCTGCTATCACAAATCGATCAGCCTCTGAAATATCATTATCTTCAAACATATTTTTTCTTTGTTGCATAATTGAAGACGAAGACAAATCATGAGAAGCAGTAACTCCACTACTACTGCCTTCACCAGCATTGCTTGTCGAATGATCAAATGACATAATTAATTCATTATCAGAGAACGAAAGTTCATAATCCTCCATGTTGAAAAATTAGAGATTATATCAGATATAGAAATAAAAGGGCAAACGATATTTAGTAAAGAAATCGAGGATGTTAACGCGCGTTTTCGCGTCGTGTAGAAGATTATGTAATTCCACGTGTTATATTGATGTTCAACTGATTTCGAAATGTGTTGCATACTAAATATAGATAAAACCCGATCACATTTTCGGTTTAGTGTAAATTTGGTTTTTAAAATTTTTTGAAAAAGGTAAGTTTTCCGCTGAATCGAGTTTTTTCACTTTTTTCTCTTTCACCTTTGTGTATACTTTACGATAAAATGGGACAACTCAAACTCGAAGATACTAGGAAAGAATTCGAACAAGCCAATCGCCAGAACAATATCAAAATCCACCAAAACGGCGTAGTAGACTTCGAACAATATGACAAAGAGCAAGTGCGCTTAATGGAAGAAATGTGTATTCTCGTTGATGAGAATGACAAGAAAATTGGCGCCGGAACAAAAAAAATGTGTATGTGATCGGAGAACTTCTATCTTTTTAAAACTGAAAAAGAATAAAAAATCCCATTTTCTTGTCACTCGTATATACATGTTCAATGTCTCAAAAAAAAAGGTCACCTAATGGAGAATATTAACAAGGGATTACTACACCGAGCATTCTCTGTATTCCTTTTTAATTCTGAGAACAAACTCTTGTTGCAGCAACGTGCTACTGAGAAAATAACATTTCCCGACTTATGGACAAACTCTTGTTGTTCTCATCCTTTGAATACTGCACTTGAACTCGAAGAAGAGAATCAAATAGGTAATTTCAACTAATACAGTTCCATTCCAGTTCCCGACCGAAGGAAATTCTATTATCGGTATATCGAGGTTTTCGTCTGTATATATAAATAATTGTTTCTGGATAAATACGCTCGAGGTTTTGTCTGTATATATAAATAATTGTTTCTGGATAATTACGCTATTAGGTGTGCGTAGAGCTGCTCAACGCAAATTAGAGCATGAATTAGGAATAAAGCCATCACAAGTACCACTTGATGAGTTTAAATTCCTAACAAGGATTCACTATCTGGCGCCTTCTGATGGTGTTTGGGGAGAACATGAAGGTCTTTACTTTCTATACTGTCATATTAGATGTCATCCATGAATCTTACATTGAAAGATTCTTTTATCTCTAGTCGATTACGTTTTAATTATCCGTGCAAACGTCGACTTGAACATCAACTTAAATGAAGTTAAAGCCGTTGAATGGCTATCAATTGATGAGCTTCGGCGTCGATTTGAAAATCCGGGAGGTAAATTCTTTTATTTTTTAGATTTCATTATGAAATTACTCAAAATAAATTTATATATTTTTGTAGATTGGAAATTCACACCCTGGTTTAAACTCATTTCAGAAAACTTTTTGTACAAGTGGTGGGAAAACCTTGATAATCTAGATCTGAAAAGTGATTCACGAAAAATATATAAACTAGGGTTCTAGTTGCAAGAAAAAATTACCTCTTATTATGTTTATTTCTTATTCATTCATTTACCATTGTATCCATTAATCCATTTTTACCTTCATTTAAGATGACTACTATTTATCATTTTTAATTAACATCGTTCAAATATACGATACAAAGCCGGCAGATTAGCAACTTGAATTATTTGGCCACCAGTAGCAAAGCTTTTCGGTGCAATGAAATTATTTTTCAACGCCGGAAATATTAAATGTTCAATTTCCCATCGATATTTCACAAGTGCCGCTGATGCTGTTTCTTTTTGTGTAAAATTTGAGTTGGTGTGGTTTTGATCTTGTTTTGAATTTAATTTCTCATCATCATTCTCGATATCTATAGAGTAAACGTCTTTTTCTTCTTCCATATCCATCCTTTTTGTATCATTTTCATCATCATTATCATCACTTTTAATAGATTCATCGTCCTCATTATCTATCTCCATTTGTTCTTCATTTATCTCGTTCACTTTTGTTTCATCATCTTCACAGAATTCTGGTGGTTCGGTCGCATAGAAGTATCCAATTTCACGAGCAAGGGTTTCAAAGCATTTGATTTCCGTAGTCCAATCAACCTTAATATAACATCAAATAAAACATATTCACTATAAAAAAAAGAAAAGAAAATTAACAATATTGAAATAGTTAATTTACCTCAGTGCCCAAATGTAACAAGAAAGTAGGGAGCTTATCCATATTTGGCGCATATCCTTTAAGCATCAATGGCAAAGTAGTTAATTCACCCTTCTCCGAAATAGTTATCGCGAAATACTCTTGCAACATTTCTCGGCGCTCAATTAATTGTCCAGTAATTATCTGTAATAATTATAATTATTCAGTAAAAAGTTACATATAGACGGATTGAGATTGGTAGAGATCAGTAATGTAGTTCTATGCGTCAATTTGAAATTTAACAACTTACCTGTGCAATCTCATCTTTCGATTTCAGATTATTAAAAAATTCATCATTTTCAATATTTTCTAATGCAAAAATAATGAGATCGTTAATGGGAGCTGGGGTCGACAAATGGATGGTCCCGAAATTACAGAATTCTTGTAATGTCAATTGATAGAAAAGCTCCTCACTATATTTAAAATAGAAGTTCTAGTAACACAATCAAAGGGCAAATAATGATGATGATGATAAGAAACCTGAGCTTATTATAATCTAATAAATATAATTTTAATTGATGTTGGACGAGTGCTAATGTTTGCTTGTCATCAACGCATCCAACGAGCGTGTGATTTGCAAGCAGATCAGTAAGACCTTTCGCAGTCAGAGAGGAAATTAATAAATGCATCAAACTTCAAAAATATTTCCTAAAATAGACAAATGATTACGTAATACCTTGATGCCCTTCTTCTTTGACTTGTTTACGTAAATTTAATATACTGGATAATCGCACCTCAATTCGTTTTCTTTTTGGTTTTGGGTTAGGATTACTAGACAGTCGGTTTCCTTGCGAGTTGCTGTTTTGCAAAATCATGATGTCTAATTAACCTTTTAAGCAGTGTTTCTTTATAAAGCTCATTACTTTATTGCTTCTATAAATAAAAGAGATACCTCTTTGTTGATTTCTCCTCGACATCTTTTTTAGGGGATGTAACTTCTTTTTTCGCCTTTTTATTCAACGGTTCTAACAATTCTTCCGGCTCATAAAAATTATCCAAAGTTCGTGCGTGAGAATCAGTTCTCACAAGTTTATGATCATAAATTATGGCTGAGCATTGATGCGGTGGTTGAACAAGTTATTCAATCAACATATCAGATCAATTGACTTTGAGATATATTAATAAAAAATAAATTTAAAAAACAATCAACCTGACTTCTTTGAGAACTTGTCTTGATTTTCCTTGGCATCACTGTATTCAATCGATGGAGTAGCTGCTCCCGGTAATAACGTCTAAATAAAAAAATAAAAAAGCACGTATATAGAAAAAGAATAATAATCAAAATACTGAACAGATTCATCACTACTAACCTGCGTATGAAAAGATCTCGAAGAATTTGCGCAGGCAAGATTTTCTTGGATTGCATCACATATTCTCCCAATTATTTTATCCTCATGCAAAAAAAGTACCTTTTATGACAAACACGTTGAAGTTTCACGTGTTAAAAAAAACGAAGTCCAATAATAGCAGCTATTCTCCTCTTCACCTCACGCTTAGTAGGATGAACATTAACATCCACATTTTTCGGATTAATTTCAAGACTTAAATAAAGAAACGGGTAAGTATGTTTTGGCAACAGTGACGAATACACACTTTCAATCATTTTTTTTAGTGTAGAGTTTTCAACGGCTCTGTCTATTAAAAAATATAATAAATAATAAATAAACAATTTGAATTAATAACAAACAATAGCAAAGATTCGTACGTACGATTAACAAACAACAAAAGAACCATTTTCTTGAGACTATAATTAGCATTAGAAATATATCCTTTTAATTTGACCTCAAGTTTTTTATATTCTTTGTTGATTTCAAGTAACTCGGATGCGGTGTTCACTCCATACACTTGGCGAATATTGTCCACTGTTGATCCGGTTGTCAGTGTATTGATGTCGGCTTGATTCGAACCTTGCTATTTAAAACAAAAATATCAATAATAAATATTAATACAATTGTTGCTTATATGATCAAAAACATACCTTTTTACACGTAAAGCTAACACCAGCATTATGAATGGCATATCGATTCACAATATCCATAATTTGATTGTACTCCTCGGCAAAATTCTTCATAGCTTTTCGCCGCGCTGGTACATTATAAAAAAGATCCTCGGCCTGCGAATAAAAAACGAGATCTTAATGTGCTGGTCGTGAAAAGATAAATTAGACGCGTCTAAATCAAAAATACCGTAATTTGCGTTCCATTATTCCCAGCACACGGTTTTGGTTCTGCACTTACTCCCGGCTTGGGCGGAACAAGAATACCATCGGAATAATGAGCTCTGTGACGTTAATGAGAATTTAATTCGTCAAATAAATACCGTATATTTTATATTTAGAATTAGAATTGATATCTACCGATATGCACAATTAGAGTCGGCAGTCTTTGTGGTAATAGTAACATGTGCAACGTGAGTAATACTCGCCAAAGCTTCCCCTCGAAAACCATAGGTGCTAATATTCGACAGGTCTTCAAAGCTTTTGAGTTTACTTGTGGTAAAACGCTCACAAACAATAGCCATATCTTCTCTCTAACACATGCAATAAAACCGTTTGTGAACTAACAAGCCAATAAAGAAATATTATAATAGACGGCGTAGAAGATGCCACCACTCACTCGTATACCATGCCCATTATCTTGAATCTGTAGAAGCTTAAGTCCCCCATCTTTGATAGTTATTTGAATATTAGTTGACCCAGCGTCCAAAGAGTTTTCTATCAACTCTTTTAACGCGTTTGCTGGGCGATGTATAATCTATTACATAAGCACATTATTAAAGAATTCAACTAGAGCAAAGCACAAAACTAAAAAAAACAGTTTAAAGACCTCTCCGGCTGCAATTCTATTAACAACAGTTTCTTCGAGTTTTTGGATTGGCCGGGGTTTTGGTGATTGTGGTTTGGCAGATAAATCCATATTCATAATATTAATGCGACGCGTACAAAATCATTAGATTTTTATTATATTGACATGAATTGATCAGGTAAGCATCACTACACTAAGTTACAAATATCGAGAAATTATCCCTATGAATTACACATTCAGAATCAGCGTAACCCAACAACTCCGCAATTTCAGAACTCTGGTGTCCCTTAATTCTTGTTATCTCAACAGATGAATAATTCACTAATCCTTTACCAATTTCTTTCACTTCAGCACATAAATCATCATTTCCACTAGCTCCATCATTATTACTATCCAAATTTCGTTTCTTCAAATCCACTACAACTTTAACCGCTTGATCGGCGATAAAATTCCCCTCAACCCTCACAATCCCAGCAGCGAATAAACTGCTCGACTGGCCCGGCCGAGTGAGCGCTTTGTAAGCTCCTTCGTCAATCACTAAGGTGCCGGCCGTGTGTAGTCCGTGCAATATCCACCATTTACGATCTGTCAATGGGTTTTTTTTGGCGAGAAAACGCGTATGTAATGGGATGGAAGAATCGTCTGACGTTGTAATCGTGGGGTTTATGGAAAGATGCGAAATTATGGTTAAGATGTTTTGTGGAGTCGAGCCGCGACATATTATTGTTGTGACGCCGGCTGCTGTGGCGAGATCGGCCGCTGTCAATTTTGTGATCATTCCGCCAGTGCCTAATGCGCTGCCAGGTGAAGTTATCTTTACTATTAATTTGATGGCAAGCGATTTTAATTATTTAAGCACGTGTGTCTTCCAGTACAAGTGCTAATAAAAAATCTATCATAAAAACCTTGCTCTCTTAATGCACCAACATCCTCAACAATCTCTACCGGCCTGGCATCAGGATTCAGGCGCGGATTATCGGTATACAAACAATCTACATCTGTCATTAGAAACAAATAATCCGCGTTAACCATTTTGGCTGCTATCGCTGATAAAGTATCATTATCACCAAATCTAATTTCCTAATAAGAATATTTATGAAATTTGTATAGTCAAGTAACAGTATTAAATTAAATGCATCAAATAAATAATATAACACTTACGCTAACAGAAATCGTATCGTTCTCATTTACTATAGGCACCACCCCAATAGCCAGTAACTCCGAGAATGTGTTTACAGCGTTTCGATACTGTGTACGCTATATACGTGTAAATAAAATATACGCGATTATTAATGTAATCGAAAGATAATAAACCATCTCTCAAAATAATAGATATTAAAAATAATTTAGTTTGCGCTCACGATTTTTTTTAATGTTATTTACATCAGCAATGTCATTACGCGTCAAGAGAATCTGCGCGATGGGCTGATTCAGCTGACTGAATAAGTCATCGTACATTCGCATCAATCTACCTTGTCCAACAGCCGCAACTGCCTTTCAAAAAGATAGCGTGTTTAAATCCAATGAAATAGAAAAGAATTTAGCCTCACTAGAAAAATGAATTTCCACTATTAACTCACAGGTAAAATGCAAAATCCATCCAAACCTGTATGGCCGACAGCTTCTTCGGTTTCTTTTCCATATTAAGTCGTCTTAAACCAACCCCGATCGCTCCACTTGTCACCAACACAACTCGATGTCCTAGTTTTCGTAGTTTTACTATTGTCTCGATCAGGAGGGATAGGTTTGATAGTAAAGGTAAATGTGTCTCTTCTTCGCATATTGAAGAGGTGCCTAGTTTTATTACTATAGTTAATGCACGAGAGTTGCTGATACGAGGATTCTTTGCAGTCATTTGTGTATGTAAATTGACTAAAAAAAAATGTGTACGTATAATGCACTTTGACATCTAATCACATGACAGATACTAAAAAACATGAGCTCGCAAGCTTTAATAAATATCACATTAATATTGATTTGATTTTAATTTAGTTTTTTTTATAAGTTCTTTTTTTTTAATTTAATTTTTATTTTTTTTTATAAAAAGAATATAATTTAAAAAAATATTATTATTATTTAATTAATTATTATTCATATTTTTTAATTAATTATTAACTTATATAATTATCTTTACTTTAAACAAATCTTATATTTATTAAGTATTAATAATATAATTATATATATTTAAATAAAAAATTAATAAAAATAAAAATTATTTATTATAATATAATAATATGATTAAAAATATATTATTTATTATCTGATATTATCTAATTAATAAATTTATCTATTTATATATAGTATAATTATATATAATAGCATAATATAAATTATTAATATGATATAAATTTGTATAAGTTAATATAATATAGATTAAAGATAATGTAACAAGTATATTATACTTATTTATTATCTATTATAATATGTTATAATTCTAAAATTTTATAAGTTACAACTAGTTATAACTAAATAAAATTTATCATCATATTACAATAGTTATTATATTATCTTTAATATAAATCTATATTAGTTAATATAATATATTGTATCAATTCATATATTTTTTATATCTAAAATTTTAAAAAAATATAAAGCTTTTTAATAAGTTTTAATTTTAATAAAAATTTCTTTTATAAATAATTCACTAACTTATATTAAGAGTTTTCAAATATTTATATATATTATAAATAAATAATATATTTTAATACTATTTTAGAATTATTAAGAGAAGTATAAGTTATATGAAAATAAATCAAAATTCAAAATAAAGTTATTATCTAAAAATAAATTAAAACATATTTTATTATCTTATCTTATATTAGTTTTATTAAAGTTTTATAATTTTAGTACTTATTATAAATTCTTTTATATTAGAATCTGTATTTAGCTTAATAAAAATTTTCTTATAGATATTTAATAAAATAAATATTATTATTAAAAATATAATTAAATAAAAAATATTATTATAGTAATTAAAAAAATAATAAATATATATATAAATATCTAATTATAATTTAAGACAAATATTAATAATTAAAATTAAAGAAAAAAAGAAAATTATTAATAAAAGTAGAGTAAAACTAAAAATACTCAAATATTATATAAAATTTAAATAAGATTTAGAATAAAAAAATAAAAAAGACTTGAAAAAGAAAGTATTATTAAATAATATAAAAATTTAAATTATTATTAGTAATAATTTCATATTCAAATTTATAAGATAATATTTATAATTATATTAAGTTTGAGACTATTTATACAAAAAGAAAAAAGATAATAATCAAAATTTATATAATAAAATATTTATGTAAAGTATTAAAAAAAATATAATATTTATTTTTCATATTAATATTTATTTATATATCTAAAATTATGATATAAATATATTTTTATCATTTATTATTATTATTATTCTGTAAAAGTTAATTTTATATTAATAATAAAAATAAATATAAGATAATATATAAATAAATATTATTACTTAATATCTATTAAAGTAATATAAATTTTTACTAAGTTTTTTATAATTAAATTTATTATTATCTTTTAAGATAATAAAATAAAAAATTAAATTAAATATTTCTGTAATAGGATAAATATTTAAGTTTATTTAAATAGTAAATAAACTTATAATAATTAAAAATTATAATTTTTTAAAGATAAAATAAAACTTATATCTTTAATATATCTCTTTATTAATTCTATTAATTTAAATAATACTCTTTAAACTAATTAACTTGATATTTTTATATAATTAAAATATTTTATCAATATATTATTATTAACTTATATAATAAATTTGCTAAGTTCTATTATCAATCTATAATTTATTTCTATTATATTAAAAAAAATAAAGTTAAATCTATTTGAATTCTTTTTATTAATGTAAGATTATTTTGTTAATGTTTGTAAACAAGATAAAATGCGATATGAATAAGTTTTAATTTTATAACTTATAATTGTTTTTATTATTTAAAAGTATTCAGATCTGAGGCTAAAAGTA